GTGAAACGGGTGTCTAATGTGTTGTAGTGTTTAATAATTTCAGAAATTATATTACACGGACCTCGTCAGGACACATAACACCTTGTACAATTAAAGAGCTTTTTATTTTCAATTTCACTGAAACAATACATTTTGTTGTAAAAGATTATTCTCAAGAGGATGACATGATAAAGCATCCAGATATTGCAAAAATACAGTATATTCCATCGTCTCTTTCACAATGGTTTAGTTTAGCTGTGCAAAGAATGGCTGAGCGGCGCACAAAATAATCCCCGAAAGAATGCGCAGACGTATAAAGCAATAAATAAATTTGTTCCAAGCAGATAAAATGCAGTGATTTTACACTCAATATAAGATTTTTAGTTCACATTTCCATTGGTGTGGTGGTGGCATTTCCAGTACCAGCAATCTATTAAAGCACACCCTCATGGCAAAATTTAAAAGCAATTCACTGAGCTGGAAGATGCAATAAAACATAAATGTAGACTTGCTTCAAAAGAAAATGGAAGCAGATATCTGTTTAAGTTAGTGTCCCAATAAGCCTTCAACTCATAAGGCCAAATCTGTATCACTGGAAAACTTTCAAGATACCTGTTGCAAAAGTATGTGCATTTAAGGCATCTTTAGAGATTTAAAAATGGGATAGACAAAGCACTTTTAAAAAGTGGCAACAGTGTCACACTACAGATTTGTAATTCCTGCTGGCAGGTTTTTCTTTCCCCACTAAATTAATACATGAATAATGAATCTGTCTGCTTCCTGTGTGAAAAAAGGCACCTTCAGTAGTTAGTTTGCTCCTGCGAAAGGTAAACAAAAAAGAAACATAGGCGTTTTTTCACAATTGGTCCAACCACTTATGTTATTGATACATCTTTGTAAACTGTTTGGGGGAAATGGTTTAAAATATATTGCTTTCAGCAAATTATGGTTTAAAAGTTGTTTTTTTGTATTGAAAACAGTAACACTGGATAAATTCCCATACATTATTTTGGGTATGTATTAAAATTGTGTATTTTTGTTTTGAGTTTTATTAAAAACTACTTTGAATTGTGTCAGATCGGTTATTTTTCCTCAAATAGCCGGTGCCACTAATGTGTTGTCACCCAAATCCTTCATACATACAGTACCACATATAAAATGGTTAATTAGAATGCAAAAACATTGCTTAAATGTTTGGCAATAGATTTCCTACACTAAGAAATGGTCAAAAGAAATAAACATGTCTTATTTAAAACCCTGCAGGTATTCTTCCTTTTTTATGGCTGTCTCTAAAAGACATGGCAGGTAAGACTATTTCTTTTCCCAGTTTATGATTATCACACAGACACTAAGACAACAAATGATGAAAAAATTAAGACATAAGTAAATGGCACAAACCAACAGCAAAAAAACAAACAAAACAGAAACCAATTGACAACCTCTAAACCACCTACCAGTTACTTAAAACTACAATTGGACTAACAGCCATTTATAGAAATGATCTGAGAGCAGAACTAAGCAGGACAAACCAGGAGGGTTGGAAATGTCTGATATATGCGAAGCAGTGCATGTCAAGGTAAATAACTCTGTCTAATATGAGACACTTTTAAGACAACAGGTGTGAGTACTGCTACTGAGATGCAACTGCCTATAAAACTTAAATCTTCTAAGATACAAGTTGTGGCATCCGAGCATCTTAAATCTTCATGTGCACCTTTTTGTGTTCTCATTGGTCTTTAGATCCAGCTGAAGCCAAAAAATGTGGATTAAGAGAGAAATCGACCAAAACAACCTCTTGTGGTTCCCTAATTGACACACATTAGACACCTTTGTCTTAATAACACCTAATATAATGCTAAAACAAGTTTGTATTCTGCTTTTCCAAGCCTCACATTAAACCTAGTCAGGCCCTTAACAGTAATACAATGAAATGATCACCTACTGTACAGTGTGAACAGCATTTTTTTCCCCCCATAGAAGTAAACCTGTTGTCCAAATAACCAAGAATTGTGTACACTGGTAATCTTTTCATAAAAACAAGGCAGTTAATGGTACTGTAGGCTACATTTGTGTGAAACAAACTATGTGAAATCCAGTAATTATACAGTTAGGGAAATAAGTACTAAACATTACAAAGTTGTTTTTTTTAGTAAATATTCTGTAAATCAGATTTTCATCACAGACCACATGAACTGCACCATGTCAGTAGCTACCCAAGTGACCCATACAAATCAAATGAAAGATTTTTAGACCCAGAATTAAGTTATGTAGTAGGGACGACACAAAGATTATCAAGTGCAGGAGAAAAGTGAAAGTTGAGAGAAGTGGTACCATTTATCAAAGGAAAATGATGTCCTTCACAGTTTGATCCTAGCCAAAGGTCTACAGAAAGGTTTCTACTTGCCAAAGATGCCTCTAAAGAGCTGTAGAAGTGGCACTCGTTACAGGCACATTTCAGAAAGGGTTAGAAAAAAACTGGAATTAGCAGGTAGCGTTCCTCCATAAAAACAGAAAATAAGGTGTTCTTGCTATGGATTCTTTCTGGACTTACTGGTCAACTGAAGAAAAAGAGAATAAAGCTGTTTGATTGGCCCCGTCTGTCGACCAAATTTAATCCAAATGAAAATTTATGGAAAGAGTCCAGGAGAGTTTCTCATAAATAAAAATTTGAAGACCTTTTCTGCTGAAAAACAGGGATCTCCGTACAGTAACTAACCAACAAAATGGTTAGACATAAAAAAGAAAAGAAAAAAAAAAAGTAAGCATCTCCTGATCTGCTTTATCAAACACATTTTAAAGTACCGGTATCGACTTCCATCCTCATTCCTTGTATGTGTGGATTACTTGGGTTGATACCGACCTCTGGTGGATTTAATGGTAACAGTCTGATTAAAGTGAAAAAAGGGTCTTTTTTCAGTAGCCCCCCTAAGTAGTACTCAGTACTGTCATTTTGTGGCATTTCTGTGACGAAGACATAACACAAACGGGCAAATCTTTTTGATTGTAGTTCAAATATGCAAGTTTCCAACTCTTGACTCAGCAGCAATTGGAAATGCAGTTTAGTGATCAATACCAGATCAGGTTTCAGTTCTGCAGTTTTTTGGGATAAATGACATATTTTAATCAGGATAATTTCTATAAATGATTAGTCTGCCAGTTTATAAAGTTTAAAAATCCTTACAGTGCATTTACAACTTTCTTCTTGTAAGAAATGAATAATTGATGCACCTAAATATATTTTCTATCTGCAAAACGCACAAAAAATATTCTTAAATATACACTTCAGTGGAATTTTTATACCCCTAAGATTGATTGTACCATCACTTCACTACATACAATACTTTAAGTTTCAACCAGTTTAAAGATAAGATAAAAAAAAAAAAAAAGATGTAGTTAGGCAGGAAGGATCATATCTGTTGGCCTTTTTCATTATATTCATCATGTTTAACAGCAGAGCAGAAACAAGCATTTCCAGTCATAAACAGCTGAAAAAGCAGAACTTTAAAGGGTAACATTTGATCACGAGTAGGTGGTCTTGGCCCACTTTTGGCAGAGAACCTTAACACCCTCCATCCCATTAACACTTTGTAGAGGAAAGTGTTTCAGCAACTTGTAGACCCTGCTGGACAGTCTTTGGGTCCACCTTGAGTCTTTTGGTCCACTTTGATAGAACCCACCAAGGGTAGAGAGCTTTCACTAGGAGACGAGTCCCTGCGCACGGTCATATTCTGTGATCAGGCCTTTGATATGGGACAGTTTTTTGTGGAGGTACTCGCACCGCTTCTTCTCTTCCCGATACCCTGGAAACTTCTAAAACAAAGGAAAAAAGTCTGTATTAAGAATTAAATCCATAAACTCTTGATCATTACAGCAGATAGATGCTTGGTTTAGCTTTTATAAAGCCTAACAATCATAGTTTTAATGAAAAAAGAATTGCACCATGGCCTGAAAGGAGTGAATAAGATTAAGAATACTTCAAATATCCTTACTTTCTTATATTTTCGATATTTTTGGAGTATTTGGTCCTCCATGAGCTGGAAAAAAAAAAGAAGAGTGTTACTACCCTGTATGTGTGCCACATTCTGTTTGCTATTCTATTAATGGAGCAGTTTCAGCAGGCTCCCAACACAGAAAGTACCTTGTACTCCTGTGTTCCCGGCGTGAGGGTGTTGATCTTTGAGCCCAACTGAACAAACATCTCAGTGATGGCCCCAATCCGGTCATGAAGGGCTCTATATTCGTCATACTCGGCACAAAAGTCATCTTGATACTGTTGCCGCTGCTCCAGTGTCCTTACGGTCTTGTATTTTCTAAAAAGAAAAGGGAAATATGTTTCTGGAAAACAAGCATGTGTCAGGTCCATCCACTAGATGGCAGTCAAGTCACTGTGTTAACAGCATAGTGTGTTGACCAGATGTATGAATCAAGGACATCTGATGTTTAGTTTTCAGACTTATTTTCAGTGACCTCATATTTATATCGCCTTCTATGTTTATCTGAATGGGTTAAAGTTAAATCATACTGTTAGGGGAAACTTTTCTTTTCAAAAATAAAAGGTTAAAAGTGAAATTTGAAACTACTCTGCTACAACTCCTGAAGTAAAGGTCGAGTCAGGTTTTATTCATAAAAATAAATTCATGCAAGAAAAATGTTTGTAAACTTACATGAAATAGTCGGGCACTTCTTCAGCTGAGGTTTTATTAACAGGTGCTTTGTGTTCTCCATCATCTGGAGCTGCGTAGAACACACATTCACATAGAGGAATAATGTTATTTCTGCATACTAATTCAAATCAGACAACAGGCCCATCATATCAGGGCTAACTGTTATTTAACAGTGTGTCTGATAACAGCCAATCCAAGGCGAGCGGTTACATGAGCCAAGCAAAGCAGGAGGTAAATCTGCCTGCTGACAGGCTCGACCATAGGTCACCCAGCTGTTCTACAGTCAATCATCAACAGAATCAGCGCCTTTACTGCTGATTTGAATTTAACTATATCAAATATAGTTTAATTGTTCTATATTTCTAGGTTCAAGAAAAAAAAAATAATTGAACTTAATCTTGAACTCGTAACTCTTTGTTTAAACAGCCTTTATACACAACTCTATCCTTTATCTTTACAGCATGACATAAATTATAACCTGGTAAAACTTGAAAACTCACCTTTATGATTTTGTTGGTTCTGCTTCATGTCTGGACTAGTTTCTATCCAGTCTGGCTTTAATCGATCTCGCTCCTTGTCTTTGTGTTTCTTGGACCTTTTCTTTTTGTGCTGGCCATTAGTGAGCTGCTGTTCAGTGCATATAGAGGAGCCATTGTGTCGAGGTTTGGGACTGGGTAAAGTGGGAGCTGGTTCCATCCCCTCCAGTTTAGAAACAGTAGACGACGTGCTGAGTTTGTGCGGCGAATACAAACCATCTGGGTTTCCCTGAAGACGATTATTGGTTATGTCGGGCTCGGTTTTTGTTGCCACACAAGAGGTTTCGTGATTGGAGGAGTTATGAGCCCCATTGGTGCTACAGTCCGCATGAGGAGGTGACTGCAAGGGCAGACAGTGTTCTGACAGCTTTTGTTTTTTGGGGGTTTGGGTGTTAGAAGGGTCCAAAGCTAGTGAGCGTTTCTAGAGGTGAGAGAAAAAAGAAATAAATTAAAGCTTATTAGCAAACTTCCAAAGCTTTTAGTATGTGGATAAATAATTTCATCATGCTGAATAAAATTCAGAGAATGAAAATGTTATAGTATCAGGAAACTCTAAAAAAGAAGTAACATGAAATGTTTGGTCACATTTATGAAGAAAACCAACTCAAAGTTAATCCAGTTTAGCCTATATATCAACCTACATAGTATTGATAACAATAGACACTGATAGTGCTGAAAATTGTGAGTTAGACATTTGCCACTATTTAGATAAAAATTGCCGTTTTAAACAAAGTAAAAATAATAAATGCAATCTAATCAACTGTGTTAAAGGTAAAACAACTTCTCAGTGAACACCCATTATCAATAAAGACTAGTTGTGGAACCAAACATTTCCATAAAACAGAACATCACATTACTTATCTTTCCATTTCCTGGATCTGGGCTATAAATAAACATGAACTTGTATTTCCCACTATGTGGAACAGATTCTGGTAAGAGCCATATTTTGTGCTTACATAAAAGCATCAAATTAAGAGGGAAATGCCTCCTAAGTCGTAAGGAAATTAAGAAATGATAAACAGAAATCTTGCAACATGACTAATTACCACTGAGAGATTTTTGGCAGGACTAAGCCGTGAGGGAGAATCTCCAAGAGTTTTGTGCAATGAATGGTTGGGCTGGGGACTCCTTGACTGGTTGCTGTGCAATGGCTGAAGTTTCCTGTGGAGAGATTTAAAACACAACACCTTTACTTGGACTGTTAATCCAGAGTATTTTATTATCCATAAAGAGGAGGAGCATGGTATTGCAGATTTGTGTGAAACAATAAGAGCAACCACAGCTTTGCAAATACAGAAGTAGAAGTATTTCCATAGAATCAATAATCAGCGAAGGTATGCAACTGTGTTTTTAGTAAAATACACGCACGAGGTGTGCACAGAGACTCAACACAGTCTCCTGGGAGGAAAAATAGCAGCACATTTAAACTTTTTCATTGCCAAACACATTTTTCTGGTAATTTTCCTCATACTCCTCCTTCCTTAAACCAGAGCCATTACCAAAAGTCACTCCCTGCAATGAGATCTTGCCTTCGTAATTATAGTGACAGTAACAACGATGTTCTTATCAATTAAACAGCAATGACTAACTCTGCTTATAAAACTTAAAAAAAAAGAAACCTAATGAATAAACTGATGGACAAAATGCTGAACAGATAAACTAACCAGAAAAAAAGCATTTTGAGGTATCTCTAACCCCTGCTTTATTTATATTTATGATTTTATTTTGTTTTTTAAATTTTAAATTACTTGGATGAGAACAACTGAAAATATTTCAAACTTAATGGGGCTGCTGCAACTTACTGGCAGGAATACAGTATTTCTAAAATGTCACTGAAGCACATGGCTTCAATGTTTTCTGGCAAGCTCTTAGAGATCCCTTCCAAAGTGCTCAGCCTTACAAGCCCTGCCATTTGGCAGGATAATGCATAAAGAATTTTCTACTGCTTTGATGTCTTTATTAAAAGAATCAACACTGCAAAGGAGTCTTCATTTAAAAGCAGCACACAAACAAAAAAATAAACATCACACTGACACTAATACAGCCCAGTAAAAATGTTATCACTCTCTTATACTGTGTTAGTTTCTATGTGAAGCTGAAATGTTTGGATCACTGAACATATTTTCATAAAAACAGTAAACTTTATCAAATGCAAAAGCAGTTTATTTATCTAATCTATCACAAAAACTTAAATAAGAATCCATAGGAAGATTCACTGCACTAATATTTACCAGCGAGGACAACATGAAGGTCGTCAGGCTTTTAAAAGTCTGGTTAAGGTCGTGTGTCAGTAACACAGGTTCAGACTTTCATTGGGCTTCTACAGGTATTTTGCATTCATGATTTTATGGGACCTCCTTTGAAGGAGGAAACTACCTGTGTTACATCAGATATAGCAGACCCACCAAAGAATTACGCTATTTTGGTTGTTTCATATTTTCTCCAAAATCTTTGGGATTATTAAAATATTTTGGGGGGAAAGTAAGATGTTTTCTTTTTTATCTGCAGTGATTTTAACCCTTGAAGTTCCCCTTCCTTAAATACCAACTGCTTTTTATTAGTCAGGTTACATTAGTCTGATATTAAAAGTTTCGTCGATTTCAAACTTTTGGATGCATTTGCATTACCGGTGGATCAATTCATGCATTTTCTCTAACTGTTCTGCACAAGGTCAAAAAAATTGTAATGACCTATTACAATTAAAGCCATGTTTGCAGATGGTTTTATACCTTTATGCTAAGATTCATAGTTTTCAGGTAGTGTTCAAAGAGAAACATGACAACTCACATGCGTTATGACTGTTATTAAAGACATTTACAAGAAAACGTTAACAAGAAAAGATTAATTATAGAATTTATTATTATTATCATTTTTTTTCATAAATATTTGTATTTTGCATTGCTTAATTCCCACCTGATAAGGAGCCTGTGGATAAGCTGCTTCTCCTCTTCCAGATATCCAGGCCAGTCTCTTTGGACATGTTTGTAAAGCTCATCTTTCAGAGAGTAGCTGTTGTCCTTAGGATTCAATTTACCAACCTAGAAAAACCAACATCCCCCTTATATGTTATAAATCCACAGGAGAAAGGACAAAGTAGTATAGCAGGAAACAAGTTGAGCTGAAATTGTAAACAAACCAAACCCCATTCTAAATTCCGCTTCCCTCCTCTGACACACTGCTGTTGTACTAACTTTATCACTTGTACATAAACTAATCCCACTAATACAAACATACTAATCTCAACCAACATTTTCTGCAATCACTCAGAATCCAGCCTGAATGACCTCACGCCTCTCCTGTCAAAACACAATCTTCTCACATCCAAAGGGGACTAATTAAAGCACAGCCCTAATTACAGTAACTAGTGGCTGCACAGTCTCCAGCTGATGATTGCATCGGGACTCTTAAACAATGTGAACATAGAAAATATGCCAGAAATAGACCTAATGATATTAGAGAGATTTATTTTTAATTGCATGACTGATAATCAGAAAAGTGATATTTATTGGGATTTCTATAGTTGCTGTTTACATTTTTTTTTTTGGTCTCAAGCCAGATCTGAAAAGGCAGTTTAACTGCTTTTTGTGTCACATTTAACATTTCAGATAAAGTATATCAATCCAACAGTCACTTACCTCTTCTAGTACAGAGGTCAGATCAGCTTTGTCCTTTGGGCTGGCCCTCTCCCTCTCTAGCCACAGTAGCATGTCAGGCTTCCTGTAGGGCTTTAGGGCTAAGAGATGAATGATGCGATCCCTTAAGGGCCGATGTGCCAGAGGGCTTGGGATCAGGGTCCTTTTGTTGCTGGGGGAGTGTTTGTTACTGCTGTCGGAACCAGAGACCAGGCCCTGCTTCCTTTGCACCTTCACACATTTACCTAAAATTAAAGTAGACACAGAGATGTTAGACAGGTATCTTTGATTAGAGCCAATAGGTTACACCAATATTCTCAAATTGTTAAATTAAGGTCATTACTGCACTAAGCTAAACAAAAACAGCATTCTTTAAACCCATCTAATAACGAGACTCAGGCAGTGAAATTATCCTGTAAAAATACAGCCAACATTCCAAATCCTATCCTGAGGGGAGATTTACAAAATTTCAAAGCCAAGCCCACACATGAAAGACAGAGAAAATGCTTAGTCATTTTATCTATTGCTTTTAACATAGTATGCTTTATGCACGTGCAGCTGATAAGCCTGTATTAGTCAGCTTGAATAAGTAGGTTCCATGCATGAACGCAAAGAATATGGTGGAAAGCTCATGCTTTTTTTTCTGTCTGCAGAAAACAGGAGGACTGTTGCACCAGTGCAATTGTGTGGTAGTAGGAAAGGGCTCATCATATGTATCAAGAGTTGGTAAAGAAAACCAGTTAACTCAGAGAAGGCATTGTTCCTGGTGAAGAACTTATTTGAACTGGACCCAAGTAATGTCTGGTAGATATATAATAACTCTAATCTCATTAGAACCATAATCCATACATTATTTTTTGAAGGTTTTAAAGATAAGAGGCTAACACTGAAAGATGTTATTTACACATCCAACAGTTAATTACGGTAGGTCTGAAATGTTTAAAAAAAATTGAGTTTTCTGCAAACGTTTTTACATTTTTCATGTTATAACTTCCGTATCTTCTTCTAAAGTCACCTATAATAAAAATACAAATTGAACGTTGTTGGAGAAATTTACCTCTGCATTTAACCCATCCCCTTGGGAAACAGTGGGCTGCCATTGTTGGGCGCCCGGGGAGCAGTGTGGGGTTAAGGGATTTGCTAAGGAACCCAGAGTGGAGGCTGTGGGGATCGAACCGGGTACTTGCAACCTTCTCAGAGCAAAATGCACTGCTGTAACCACTAGGCCAATACTCCCCAACAACACACCTAAATATGAGTCGTCCAGTGTCTCATTCAATTTTAATGCACATACAGCTGTTCTGTGAAGAACATTAGTAGACAAAAGTAAATATTTATTGAAGAAGGTTTTTTAAGTCTGATGCCAAAACCGATATTTTGACATTAGTCTAACCAATTCCCAATATGTACTAATAATAATTTTGGGCCAAATTTAGATGCCAATACTGCTTTTTTGGGGGGGTTATGTATCGTCACCTCCCACCTTCCGTGCCACCATCTGCACCAGAGTATCAGTAGGCCTCAAAGTGATTCTGGCTAAACGTCCGGCATCTCTGGAGAGGGAAGCAGTGCTTTGCTGACTGTTTTCAGTGGTAGCAGGAAGTGGTGACTTGCCCCCTTGGAGGAGAGTTCCTGCCTGCCTTAAGTGCAGGAGTTTAAGTACCTTGGGATCCAGTGCATGAGTGAGCGGAGAAGGGAACAGGAGATCAATAGCAGAATCAGTGCAGCTGGAAATATAGTGTAGACGCTGGTCTGTTGTGGCGAAGGGACAGCTGAGCAAAAGTACAAAGCTCTTGATTTACTGGTCGGTCTACGTTCCTACTCTCTCCTATGGCCATCTAAATCATGACTGACAGAAAAAGATACAAGCGGCTGAAATGAGCTTTCTCTGCAGGTTGGCTGGACTCTCCCTTAGAGATAGGGCGAGGAGCTCACCCATTCGGGAGAGGCTCAGTGTGGAGTAGCTTCTCCTCCACATAGAGAGGAGTCAGCTTAAGTAGCTCTGGCATCTGTTTTATAAGCAACCTGGATGCCTCCCCTGCAAGGTGTTCCAGGCACATCCCACTTGTAGAAGGCCCAGCGGACATCCCAGGGGACGGCCCAGGACACGCTCAAGGGAACATGTCTCCTGGGTGGCCTTGGAATACCTTGAGCTTCCACCAGCACAGCTGGATGAGGTGTGGGGGGAGAGGAAAGTATGGGAGTGTCTGCTGAGACTGCTGTCCCTACGACCCGGTCCCAGATAAGAGGAAGACAACAACAACTAAAAAACATATCTTATTTTCTTCCTCTTCAAACTGTCTGCTACATCATATTTGTCAATCACATAAGATCTCAATACTTATCAGTCGTTAAATATTGTGTGACGAAATGCACAAGCGTTGTGCTACCAAGAAATGGCTTTCCACTGAACAGACTACAAGATTCATAAATTATAGCAAGGTTATGTATCAACAGTTATCTTGGACCAGGTAATGGAGGTTTTCAGCTCTTACTAAAATAACCTGTAGTGCAACATTTCAAACATGAAGCAACTAGAGTTTTAAAAGAAAACAGCTTGAGGGATGTTTTAGTTTCATTAAAGTCAGTGCTGAGATTCCCAGGGTGGCTCACAATAAATTGGAAAATTTAAAGAGTTCTTCCTGAACACTGCCCCGTGTATAAGCCTAGTGTCTATACATAATGTGTTAATATAACTGGGCATAGATTAACAATCTCACGGATGTCTCCAGTTTAGTTGGCAGGTCTTCCTTTCCAAGCATTAAATCACATACAATTATGGAAATGGAGGACATTTTTCATACTGCTGCCTATAATCACGACTTAGTGTATGTGCATTTTCTTCTGAGAAGTATAACATTACTGCACCATAAAAAGACAGACCTAACCACAAAACAACCTTTCATAAACTGTGTCTAGCTCTACTAGTTTTGTAATGGTGGAAATCTGCTTTACTCTTTGGCCCTCTTAGACTAGCTGCTAGTTTCAACCTTTGAATAAAAATCTGATTTTTTACTAAAATTAACACATCCAGACAGTTATATTCTGCCATTAACACAACCTAAATTTAAACATAAATAATCTGAACAATCGCTTCAGTGCTGTAAGCAGTTATGGAACTTAAAGCTCATTTTGGCCAAATCTTACTTGGTCCTGGCTTGATCTCAATGGCTGTGCGGCTCCAGATATCCTTCTCCACCTGAGACATGCGCTCCCGTGTGGTCTGGTAGGAGTCGTCTGTGGCACAAACGGTGATCTTGTCTTGAATGCTACCCTGGCTCTCCAGGTGATCCCTGCCCTCCCTGTACATACAAAAAAGGTATTTAAGTCCTGGAGCTCATTCAACATTATTTACATTTGCCAAATAAGTTCTGTCTTTTTCTTAATGTTAAAAACTGCTTCTAGGACCACATCAGGTACAATGTCCTATCTCTATAAAAACAGATTTTAATCTCTGGAGGCTTAAAGTGAGTAATGTCATCTCCTTGGCAGTGCTTTGACCCTGTGAAGCCACAAACACTGCTTCTCTGTTCTCACTGGTCACACCTTTAAGTTCTTTGGAGTTTAGAGCCCTTAAGGTTATCATTAAATCTGAATGTGACCAGGCAGGCGTTGTGTTCATTGTAGTGAGGTTAAAGAGAGAGGCCAGCCCTGCAGTTGCAGCCTGACCCCACGTTTACTTTGAATTCCATTTGTGGTCTACAGTGGAAAAAGTTCTGTGTGCTGCTCACCCTGAGATAAACTGGTGAATGCAGTCAAAGCTGGACTGAGGCTTGTCTTTGCTGTCACTGGAAAGGTAAAATGAGAAGACTCGGAATCCATCTGGAGATTCGGCCGTCGGTGCTGGGATCTTTATGTACTGCCAAAGACAAAAACATAAAGTACACGTATGAGTACAAAGCTGTTAGGAAATTTCCTGAAAGCTTGAATACCTTTGCAGTGCCCTAAAAAACGTATTCTTTTTCCTTGAGCTTTGAACAAAGCAGTTCATTACTTGAAAGTGGAAAGGAAAATGAAATATGTTTTTTAAATGACTTTTGTATGATGAGGCTAGATATTTTTTATTTTTTTATTTCCAGAATAGTCAGAATATTATGAGAATAAAGTCACAACAAGAATAAAGTCAAAAAGTTATGAGAAAAAGTCGTAAAATTAGGAGAATGAAGTCGTAACATTACAAGAATAAAGTCCTAATATTAAGAGAATAACATGACAACTCTTCCCTAAAATGAGGAATGTTGAGCATCATGTGAAGCATATACTTTGGCTCTGGTTTGACAAATAAGGAAATCTTTTAGCACACCAGCATCATATTGGGCAGTAGGTCAAAGTGGACTCGGGTTACTGTGTGGTGATGCTGGTGATCATCATATGCTGGTCGGAGCTGGAAGCTTTCTTTCTGAAACAGGCTCTGGTATGACTTACTTTTCAACTTTATTCTCATAATATTCTGACTTTATTCTCGTAATATTACAACTTTATTCTCGGAATGATACGACTTTATTCTCTTAATATAACAACTTTATTCTTGTAATTTTATGACTTTATCCTCATAATATTACCACTTTTTTTCTAAACATACCTATAAAAAATGTCAAGCCTGGCCCTGATACTGCATTGCATATTTGTACCTCATGAGTGAATATCTTTTTTAACTTTACTACGTTTTATTGCAATTGAAGCTTTACATCTTTTGGTAAGTGTCAACCAGCTTTACCAGTTAGATGGTGGATGTTCATATTTTCCCCATTTTCCCCCCAGAAACAGCTAATTTAAAAGTTCATCCAAAAAGTAATGAAAAAGTGTCAAGATCTATCCTGTACCATCACTTTTGGCCACCTTTTCTCCCAAAAAAATTGAAATCTATCAATATTTGTTAAAATAATTAATTTTTTCTTCACTTAATTAGGTAAGTTACACACTTTGACAGAGGAATATGACAATTTACGTTTAAAAAAATAAAACTAAAGTTTCTTATTTCGAGTGCATAATATCTAATTATTTTTATTTTAAAGGTAGAAATGCTCATTCCATGGCTGGTCACCTTATTTACCTTCTCAAATTAAGGGTAAATACACTTCTTTTAAGTAATTAGTACTCATTTTTAGATCTTTTTTTTCAGTGTACCACCACCATTTTTCCCTTTAGGGATAAAATTTGATTTATATTAGTTTTGTATGTATTTTAAATCAAAATAAAAAAAAAAGTTATATTTTCCTCTGAATTAAACCATCACTTTGTGGTTGCCTATCACATTAAATTACAATAGAATTCATTCAATTTTGTCTTTGGTCTAAATGTGAAAGAGTTCAGAGAATATGAATAATCTTTCAAAGCACTGCATGTTAGAGGAAAGCTAAGCTAGCTGTTTTAGCAGTAGTATTTTGGTAATATTTAACCTTTAGCAGCTTGTGTTTGCTGACAAGATTGAATTTATCTGCTGGTATTACTATTTTCCGCAGTGTTATGTAATAGACATATTTAATTTCTCCTTACCAGCAGCTAAACATTTACAGTGTAATCTCAGACATGCTGCGAAAACCGAAATAACAACTCTTTTTTTTTCAAAACTACTCAGCGAAGTTGCTGGTTTGTTATGTTTCATCTTACAATAAATATGATTGAAATATCCACAAGGCGTGCCAGTCATTAGGGCTGCATAGCACCTCCCAGGTCAAAGAAAATGACCTGTAGCTAGTCATAAGGAGATCCAGTCTGATAGCCAAAACATAACAAAAAACAAAGGGAAATGCTCTTTCACTCAGGCTTTAACTTTCCGTGCTACAGACAGTCCATTTCTTCCTCCTTAAAAACAAGCCAAAGGCATACAGTCTCTCTGTTAGAAAGCTGTTATATAAAATGACCCAAAAACCTACTTCTACTGAAAGGATAGTTCAACATAGAAAGTCATTAACCTACAGGTAACACCACCTTTAAAACGTAACTGGGAATTTTCTTTCCTCTACACTCCCTGCAGCTGCGTCTCAGCAATGAAATGGGCAGTTTACCACTTTTGCCCATAATGTGTCCTAGATTCAGATAAAGCATTTTTTTAATCTTCCACCCTATTTATGGACAAATTTCCACTAAAGCCTACATTTGTTTAAATGAAACTGCCTCTTTAGCCACTACCCGTGAGTGATTGATTACCAGCCTTGTGGCTGACAGCACACTGCTCCCAGCAGATGTGACAGGCAGGACTTTGGCTGTCACAAATGCCCAGTCATGCAGCAAAGCCATAAGCATTTTTTTCTTTGCAACATGGAGCCAATGAACAGCACGTCTCCTCAACACCCCTCCTCCTCTCCTAAAACCCAACGCATGCCATTCACCCTGCCCCCATCTGCCTCGAGCTTCCCCCTCATGTGCAGAAAGGCCACCCGAGTCAATACAAAACGCAAAGCAGCCCACAAGGCCGAGGACACTTGAGACAAAGCTGACCATTAATTTTGACCCATTTATGTCTGGCTGTTAACAGGATGTGGTTAAACAAAAAAGCCCTTCCTAGAAACATTTAGCCAAAACAAGCAAAAAACATGAGCAGAGAGAACAAGAGAGCTATTCCTCCAGGACTGTTCATTAGGGGAAGCAGAAGCAGTCATAAATGAAAGACATCACTAAAGCAGAATTAATAAATGGTGTTAAAGCTGAACAAAAGATCTCTGATAAGATGAAATGTTTAGCATTGCAATAGTGCCACCATGTCCCTTCTTTCAGTTTATGGCAGTGGTTTGAGTCCCCCCTCCAGCCATGCATTAGATTTGCCTGTCACCCCAATCCATGCCACCGTACACACTTCACATTCTAATTCTAATCAATGTCACTTGGGTCAGACTGTTCAGAGGTCACCCCCACTTTATTCACAGCTTCCTTCCCAAGCTTCATAACCATATGGCATTTAACCCATTAGTTCCCAGTGGTTTCCCGAATCCCACAAGTAGAGCCGCTCCAGCTGATCACATGATCACAGGTGCTGCCCAAAAGGTTTTATGAAAACCTCAGTGAAGTCTGTGTTCATCTGTACTAAGGCTGCAACTAACCAATTATTTTGCAAATCGATCAATCTTTTATTCATGTTTTCGATTAATTGATTAATTATAGGATAGCAATGTTCTTGAAAGAAGAATTTTTGTGAAATTTAATCAGGTGAAACCAAAACTTTTCCACTTGAGGAGATCTGGATAGGACATATTGACAGGCGAAAAAGATTTTCCTAATAAATGCAAAATGTTTACATATTTTTACAACTTTGGTATAATTGCTGCTCTAAGTGATCGCTTTGTCAGCTAAAGGCATGTTTTAGGGCAGGGGTCTTCAACGTTTTCCAGGCCAAAGACCCCATAACTGATTGCGAGATGGTGCGGGGACCCCCTAATTATATATTGTATGAAATTGTGTTATATGAAACTGCTCCTATAGTAACTCTATTAGATATGGAGTAATGTAACAAAAGTAATTTCAGCCTGGGATTATTAAAGTATTTCTGATTCTGATTCCTGGTTGATGGGACAGGTGTTGTGAATGAAATGGTGCCCAGCTAGAAAGAGCTCCTGTGTGTCGCTGAATGTGAGCATTGTAGGGTTGTCAAAAATATCGATACTTAAAAAAGTATCGATACTGAAACGTTGTATCTGGATACAATACTAATTTTCAAAAGTATCGATACAGTGCCACCACCAGTGGCACCTAAACAGTCATTTATCTAAAGTGCAGAATATAGGAAAATGCACTTTCTGAACATTGTGATTGAATAATTCTGTGCACTTTTCAGTTTCAGACTTTTTTTGTAACACTTTTTTTGTAACACTTGTAATACTCTGCACAGCAAACAACCTCAAAATATTGTTCTTATTGTTTATTGTATTTATTTATTGTATTTTAATTATTAATCAAAATATTTCTGTTGAAATTTGGAGTTTTTATCCTTGTGGTATCGAAAATGGTAGCGAGTATCGAATATTTTCCTTAGTATCGGTATCGTGACAACCCTAGTGCATTGATGACTGAAAGACATCTTTATCCTCCATTTATCCGTTTACTACAGTGTGTTGAATTCATGTTAATGTGGATTTAAAGACATTTCAATTAGTGGAAAAAAATTGCAGGAGGGAATATAAGAAAAGTCTAATCAACCAAAACTTTTACGACTCCCATGCAGTACCTCTGTGGAACCCCTAGGGGACCCCCTGTTGAAGACTTCTGTTTTAGAGTCTAAACTCCAGTTAACGATTAATCAATTACTAAATTAGTTAACGATTATTTCAATAATCGAGTAATCACGATTAATCCGATTAATTGTTGCAGCCCTAATCTGAACCAGTAAGAGTCATTTTTGATCTGTCAGAGATCAGCCAGAGTTTTCTCAGGAGACTGAAAAGAAATAACCTGGCTGTATATGAGACGAACTTCCCAAACGGATAATATGAATTTTCTTAGCATGAAATTAAAGTTTATTCTTATTTATACTTCAACATCTCTATCTCCTTTGTTACAAAAAAGTTTTATTGCTTAAATAAATAAACTACTCCTATAATTTCTACACTTTTTCCTTTGGACCACTTATCTTTAAAGCGTTCTATGTTGCAGTGCATATGTTCCAAAGTTCATATAATTAATCAATGTAAATTGTATGTATTAATAGAACACCATTTACATGTATTGTTGTAATTGTTTTTTTGTTTTTTGTTTTTTTTAGGTTGGAACTGTTTAAAGCGATAGTTCTGTATTTTTGACATGAATCTGTATGGCATCCCCATCACCAGCGGCATGCAATCATACTGACTTACCCCTGGCAGCGTCCTGTGAGCAGAGTTATCGTCCAGTTTTGGTCAAGCCGAAAGTAGTCCTGCAGGTTTTTAG